TATTTATTTTATCTAATATTTTAAATTAATTTATTTTTACTGTATATATTTATTTATGTATTTCAATCATATAAATCATACAATGCTTAGACATAATATATTTATTAAGAGGAAGATAGATAATTTTTGGCAGCAATAATCTAAAAAATATTTCTTATTATATATGATTTCTATTCATTTGCAATCTTCATTATAGTCTCAAAACCTTTAGATTGATTATTAAAATGTATGTTCATGTGGAATAGCTAGGCTACCAGTCCTTTGATTACACTTTTTTCATTTTCATTCTTTAGCTTAGCTTCAAATGATAGAGAAAGATCATATTTGCATGGAGGCTTAAATTTCATCAAAAAATCTGAAAATTGTTCAGCGTTCGAATCATTTAAAACGATTGATAATTGATTAAAATCTTTAGCAAACCAATATTTGTCGTCATTACAAATCAAAAACTTTTCACTACTGATATTCTTCTCTAGTAAAAATTCTAAAATTTTTATATTTAGATTGCAATCACTTTCAAAAATCTTTTAGTTTATATTAATAATCGTCAATTCATTTAATAAGCTTTTTTATTCAATTTTAGAAGTAATTTATTATAAATAATTAAATTATCCTTCTTATATTAAAGCTTAATAAGAATTATTGTTATTTTCTTTAATCAATTCTTTAAGCGAAATGGTTCTTTCAAATAAATTAAAGGCTTTAGCTATAACAAAGATAAAAGAGACAATCGAAAATACTAAGTAAATGGTTATTATAATTTGAGAAAAATAAAGCATCTTTTGTTGCTAAAATTCTTCGGTGCTCAAAATATATTTAATTGCACAAAAGAATAAAACCCTTTATAACAATAGGATATAGTATCTTTTTCCTTTGCAGTAGTTCTAGTAATATGCACTGATAGGTTCTTTGTAAATAGGGTAAACAAGGAGTTCTAAATTAAATGAGCAGTACAATAAAAAACCAAAAATTTTTATAATGTTTCTGAATAAGTCGTTCCCATTAATAGTGAGAAACTGACTCTATGTTTCCTGTAAAGCTAATCCTATAACAATTACTGATTAGATAAAGAGATATGGGTAGTAGAAGTAGCTATTTTCAAGACAATAATATATTAGATATTATGTAAAGATAGAACTAAAAATAAAAATGTATTTTAGAATATTTCTAAATTTGTATGCTAAGTATCTTGTATTCAAAGATTAAACATTTATTACTTAACAATTTATAAAAGTCAAAATCGCAACTGAAAAAATTATGAAAAAGTAAAGCCTACTCTAGTTGCTGCTATCTTCAGAGTTCTATTTGCTATTAAGAATTCTGTAGGTCTGGTTTATCGAAAGATGTATAGCGATATAGTTAAATGTATCTTAAATTGTTAAGAAATACTACAATTATCTAATTTAATCAAATGCTCTAGCCTTCTAGTATTATTTTTGAATAAATCTCAATATTCTGTTGTTTGTTAATAGGTTATATTATAGATTCTACTCAAAGAAATCAAAAGTACCTTCGAACATCTACATTGACCTTATTTAAGCCAAAAATAGACATGCATAGATAACCCACTCGTATATCCCAAAATACTAAACACCAAATAATAAGTGCTATCCACTGAACAAGGCTAAAAAAATACCCATTACTTGGCTGAAATAGTTTTTATTGCTTCTCTACATGCAAACTAATTCTATACCAGATATTAATTCTTTCATCTTTTTTATCTAAATATCTATTTATTCGTATTTGTTTGTTTGTTTGTTTGTTAGTTAGTTTTGCTTTTTTATTAACTATATCCTTATTTAATTATTTTAATTAGCTTTTCAAACAAATATTTAGAGGTTAAGTTTAGGTTTTCTTTCATATCTTTTTTATTAGCTAAAATAAATATATTTAATTCGGGTTTTTTTTTCTGATCAATATTTTTATCAAAAAAAGTAGCACTCATTTCATCACTCAGTCAGTCCCTGACCATAAAAATCAAAATAGCCGATTAAATAGACTAAAACTAAAAATAAGGCTTATAATCAAAAAAGATATACAATTTTATTTCAATTTAGTAATTATGTTTATTAAGCTTTATCAAATGGCTTCTTCATATAGATATAAAATATCAAAAAAAATAGCATTAACTATTATTTAGAGGTTTAGATAGAATCAGAATTTCTATTTTGAGTGATCTCTTATAGTCAGACGTTCTACTAATATGAATTTTGATATTAAAAGCTTTATTTTCCTGTTAATTAAAACTAATTTCTAAAAAAAACCTCAAATTAAATATTAAATTTGTTAGTAAGTTAAAATATTGATTAGGGATTTTTACTTTCCAATCAATATAATTATCAAAAAAAAGTAGCAGTCATTCTGTTTTAGATTTAGTCACTGACCAGAAAATATAATAGCTGATCAAAAAGACTAAAATTAAAAATAAGACTCTAATCAACTAATAAAATAAGTATTAAAGCTTTATATTAAATTAGTAATAAAATTTAGTAGATAGAAACCTTTGAGAAATTATTCTACGCAAGCATATATTTCATTTTATAAAGATAAAATATTAATTTAAAAAAGATCTAAAAATTTGAATAAGATATATAAAAATATATATTGAAATATAGATACTTAGTTGATTGATTATTTTGAAATTTAATTTTTATCAGAAAAAAATGAAACTAATTTGATGTTTTTATTCTATAAGAAAGATAGATTATTTTTTATGATGTTTAATATTTAGGTTGATGTTAAAAACTGTCTCCTAAATAATGAAATATGGTCTTTATCCTAATAAAGTCTCTCATAATATGATTAATTAACGATACTTTTTCAAGACTAAATTTAGTAGCCAAAATAGCTCCAAAGAAACCATTTGTATCTCCAAAAAACATTGATCACAGATTAGATTGGGCTTTAGGAGTGTCTGTCTACTTAGAAGGAGGATGAAATTTAACAAATAATATTTACTGATAAAATAATAGAATCCTCTAGCAAAACAATTCTGATTGCTGCTGCCAATAGTTCCATAGTTGTAAAATAATATCTAAAATTTGAAGGTATTGAATTATTTAAATGGCCCTCTCAATCACCAGATATGAATCCGATTGAGAATGTTTGGGTATGGGTTAAAAATTAGCTAGAGATTTATTCATAAGAATAAATTTTAAGATTAAAATTAGCTATGAAAACAAGCTTAAATTGCTTTTTTCTGAGAGTGTGTACTAATTTAATAAGACACATGTATTTAAATTACTAAAATAGAATAAATGAATTAATCAAAAATGCAAGGAATTCTACAAAATATTGATTTTTTTTTTTTCATTAATAATATTCAACATAATGCATAATAAATATTTATTTTTTTATATTTTACTTGTATTGATATCATGAAGAAGGAAGGTTAAGTGAAATCTTCTTATATATAATATATTATTTCACCATATACTATAATAATGTATCTATCCTCTTTACAAATCGACTTTACTTTTAGACTGATAGAGTATTTATTATCACTAAACCTGGAACTTTTTTTCAGTGTACCCTTTAGATATTAAATTCAGTTTGTGAATTTCGTTGGTTTGTGTTTTTATTTATTTTTCATTATATTTTTTTTATTTTTTTATTTTAAATTAAACCTAATCCGGGTATTAAAATACAATGCTATCTTATTCATAATATTTTAATAACTGGATGAGTAATATTTATTATAAAACTAAAGTAATTGCTAAAAAAACAAAATTTTTTAAACATCTTTTAAAAATTTATTCAAATAACATAAATCATTAATGAATATTTCATTATTTAAGCTTAAAAAATATTAAATAAATATAAATTTAACCATAATTAATTAATAATATTGATTGTATGTTTATATATTTTTAACAAATAAATATATTGTAAATCTTAAATATACTTTTGGTAAAGGACATTAAATTTTAAATTATCATCATTATTAATTAATTAATTAAATTACTTTAATATTTAATTTTAGTTACTCACTCAATAATATATATATTTCAGTCGTAGAATAAATCTACCATTAAGTTTTTTAAACTTAGATTTAGTAGTTTTTAAATTTTCAAATTTTTGAAAATCAATACTCTTAGAAAGCATTAGTCTTTTTATTCTGCTAAAACTTCATAATATCTATGGACAAACAAGTATTTATCATTTAATACATTAGGTATATATTTTAATCTATTTTTTTCTTCTGAGTAATCCTCTGAACAATTATTTTCTTCTTCTGAGTATTCGTCCTAAGAATCACTTTCTTCTTATGATTATTCGTCAGAAAAATCACTTTTTTCTTCTTGGATTTCTAAACAAGATTTTTTAAACTTTAAAATTCTAGATAAATTTTATTCAGAATAAACTCTAAAATCTGATTTTTCATAATCTATTAGAAGTTTGTAAATATATCTATTTTAGGAATATGAATATATTTCTAAATTTTTTACTTTAGAAATATAAGATAAATCTATATCTACCAAATTCCAATTTTTATTATATTATGAATCTCGCTCAATGCACAAACAACAGCGTCCATTAGATGGGCAATCATGTCCAGTATCTTCAAAAATGTAAACAATTAGATAAAATACTTAAATAATTGTTTTAGGATATTGCTAAATGAAATTCTCAAGTTCTTCTATAAATGAAGAGAGTTTATAATCTTCACTGTTAAAACAATCCGTTCTTACTTGATATTTGGCTAATAGAGTATCTAAGTAGATATTATTAAGTTAACTATTTTTAATTTTAAAAGGGTTCATAATCAGAACTTAGTATTCTTTCTCTTAAAATCTATTTAGAATCAAATCTTCAAAGTATTCTTTAAGTAGAAATACAAATTCTAAATTCATTTAAAGTTATTTATTCATTTTTCTATACTGAATATCCTCAAGCATGTCTTCTTTAGCAATATTATCTTAAAAAATAATATTTTTAGGTGAAGATTCTCTTTTCTTGATAAAGCTGCTCTCACCTAAATTTAAATTCTAAAGTATTTTTGCTTTTTAGGTTATTTTTTGTTTAAGGTTTGTAAAATTTGATTTATTAGTTTAAAGAAACTTTAAATATCTTCCATTTAGTCCAATTAAATGATATTTTTTAATTTATAATCATATTTATTTTCATTTAAGTCTTATAAAAAATAAGCATTCAAAGGGGAATAAAAGTCAACATCTTAAGCTAGGCTAACCTCATGCAAAGTATATTTACCTTACGTGAAATTGAATTACAAAAACTCACTTGACTCTACTTTTTATATCTACTTCATTATGGATATGTTTTTTTTATTTTTTAATTAATTTGATTGCTTAATCTTTTATTAGTTTATTTTTTGAAATAATTTTTAAAAATCTGATAAATTTTAATTAAGTATATGATAAATTTTGAAAAAAAATTATTTGGCTCATTAAAAAATATTTTTTATTGTATAAAGTTATATATTTATTTTATGGAATAGATAGAATAAAACAATTTTTTAAAAAGGTGTAATAATAAAAATGCAAAATAAAATATTTCATTGATTTTTAATAAAATAAAATTTCATTTTTTAATCCATTTTTTATGCCTTTGTTTATTCAATATGGAAAATTATCTATTTAATTCCATAAAATTAGCAAAATTAAGCAATAAATGAATATCTATTAAAATAATATAAATTAAATTGTCATATCTCAAGATAATATCCTGGGCTTTTTTATTTAAATTTAATTAAAATAAAGGCTAACTCATTCCATTTTAAATATAAAAATATGAATTTTAGTGTAAGGGTTAAGTATTTACTTATTTTTATTCAACAAATTTAAGCTATTTTATTATTAAATGAAAAAAAAGGTACAATACATAATATAAATCTTTAAAATAAAAATGAGAAAAAAAAGAACTCTATTTAAAATCTTGAATTAATCTAAAATATTAGTTTGCTAAAAATAAATTAATTTTGCAACAATATTAATTTCTATCTAAATAACAGATCTTTATCAAATCTTTTAATAATATATTTTTTGCTATTATATTAAATTCATTAAAAAAAATTAATTTTAGATATTGATTGATGGCTTTTAAGAATTAAAATTAATTAACAACAATTTGCAAACTGTATTTATAAACTGTAATTTTAATATAATTTGAGAACGTGTTAATTAAAAAAAATGTTTTATATATTTTACAAAACCACAAAAATTAAAATAAAAATTAAAATTTGATTTCTCCCTGAGGTTTTATTTAAATCATGGTATCTATTTAATCATGAAAATAAAAAAAAGATAGAAATATGATTGGTGGATAATATTTCAGACACAAATATAACTGGAATATAAAAGCTTGGCATTTATATTATTTATTATGAAATAATATAACACTAAAAGTTTCAAATTATTTGATTGTTTTTGGAGATACCATAGGGTTGCTTAAGAGGAATTAATTTATTTAAATAAATTTTATTTTTTTATAAATTATAAATAATTTATTTACTTACAAAAATAAATAAATATGAATGATATTTATAAATATAAAAGCAATAATAAAATCTATCTATATGTTTATATTTTAGTTTAAAAAAAACTTTTTCAAAATATTATATAATATTATTCAAACATTTAATATTTATTCATCCTTTTTTCGTCACTTCTTTATCATCAGAATACTTTTTAAAAGACAACTAATCTTTTAGATTTAAGACACTTGCTTATTACTTTGAATTTTTATGATTCGTTCATTGAGCTAAAAATTTTATAATAAATTTGTGTAAATTTTAAATAAATATCAAAATAGAATAAACTTTTAAAGTAAAATTATTTCTTAAATTAATAAATAAAATAGCATTAGTGGAAGAAAATATATAAAAAAATAAATCAAATAAAATCTATGAAATAAATTCAAAGAATTTTATTGTTTTTAATTAGTTTTTATAATTAAAAATATCACAATCCAAAACAAAAAAACTGTTTTTACTCAAGCAAAAGTGTCAAATTTGTGAGATTAATGCATTTTGCTATAGCAGAACCTAAGCCTGATGTACCTTCGTCACCAATTTAATTTAAACTTTTTAAATATTGAAGAAAAGATATCATTAAATAGTTAATTAGAAGGAAAAAATGAACAAAAAATATGAAATCATAAGATTAATTAATAAATAAAAAAGCAAAAGTTGAAAAAAAATGATGAGCCAAATTAACGAAGAAAGAAAGAACAAAAAAAAGTAAGCACAATAAAAAGAAAAGGAAAAAAGAGCTTTATTGTTTTTAATTAGTTTTTATAATTAAAAATATCACAATCCAAAACAAAAAAACTGTTTTTACTAAAGCGAAAGTGTCAAATTTAAGAGATTAATGCAATTTGCTAAAGCAGAACCTAAGCCTGATGCACCCATTGCACCAATTTTATTCTGACTTTTTAAATATTCAAGAAAAATTATATCCTTAAATAGTTAATTAGAAGGAAAAAATGAAGAAAAAACATGAAATAATAAGAAATTAATTAATAATAAAAGCAAAAGTTAAAAATAAAATGATGAGCTAAATTCACAATGAAAAGAAAAAGAAAATAGAGCTTTATTGTTTTTAAATTAGTTTTTATAATTAAAAATATCATAATCCAAAACAAAAAAACTGTTTTTACTAAAGCCTAAGTGTCAAATTTGAGAGATTAATGCATTTTGCTAAAGCAGAACCTAAGTCTGATGCACCTTCATCACCAATTTAATTCCAACTTTTTAAATATTGAAGAAAAAATAAATCATTAAATAGTTAATTAGAAGGAAAAAATGAAGAAAAAATATGAAATAATAAGATTAATTAATAAATATAAAAGCAAAAGTTGAAAAAAAATGATGAGCCAAATTAACGAAGAAAGAAAGAACAAAAAAAGTAAGCACAATAAAAAGAAAAAGAAAAAAGAGCTTTATTGTTTTTAATTAGTTTTTATAATTAAAAATATCACAATCCAAAACAAAAAAACTATTTTTACATAAGCGAAAGTGTCAAATTTGAGAGATTAATGCATTTTGCTAAAGCAGAACCTAAGCCTGATGTACCTTCGTCACCAATTTAATTTTAACTTTTTAAATATTGAAGAAAAAATAAATCATTAAATAGTTAATTAGAAGGAAAAAATGAAGAAAAAATATGAAATAATAAGATTAATTAATAAATAAAAAAGCAAAAGTTGAAAAAAAATGATGAGCCAAATTAACGAAGAAAGAAAGAACAAAAAAAAGTAAGCACAATAAAAAGAAAAAGAAAAAAGAGCTTTATTGTCTTTAATTAGTTTTTATAATTAAAAGTATCACAATCCAAAACAAAAAAACTGTTTTTACTAAAGCGAAAGTGTCAAATTTGAGAGATTAATGCAATTTGCTAAAGCAGAACCTAAGCCTGATGCACCCATTGCACCAATTTTATTCTGACTTTTTAAATATTCAAGAAAAATTATATCCTTAAATAGTTAATTAGAAGGAAAAAATGAAGAAAAAACATGAAATAATAAGAAATTAATTAATAATAAAAGCAAAAGTTAAAAATAAAATGATGAGCTAAATTAACAAAGAAAGAAAGAACAAAAAAAAGCAAGCACAATAAAAAGAAAAAGAAAATAGAGCTTTATTGTTTTTAAATTAGTTTTTATAATTAAAAATATCACAATCCAAAACAAAAAAACTGTTTTTACTCAAGCCTAAGTGTCAAATTTGAGAGATTAATGCAATTTGTTAAAGCAGAACCTAAGCTTGATGCACCTTCGTCACCAATTTAATTGCCACTTTTTAAATATTACCATTAAATAGTTACTTAGAAGGAAAAAATCTAGAAAAAATATGAAATAATAAGAAATTAATTAATAATAAAAGCAAAAGTTGAAAATAAAATGATGAGCTAAATTAGCAAAGAAAGAAAGAATAAAAAAAAGCAAGCATAATAAAAAGAAAAAGAAAAAAGAGCTTTATTCTTTTAAATTAGTTTTTATAATTAAAAATATCACAATCCAAAACAAATAAACTGTTTTTACATAAGCGAAAGTGTCAAATTTGAGAGATTAATGCAATTTGTTAAAGCAGAACCTAAGCTTGATGCACCTTCGTCACCAATTTAATTGCCACTTTTTAAATATTGAAGAAAAAATATATCATTAAATAGAGTAAGTTGTCATACAAATTTCCAAAAAGCGAGTTTTATATACTAGTTTTTACATTTTATAAAATTAAAATTCTAAATATTTTTTCCGAATTTTTTTTCATCCCAAAGCTTTCTAAAAACTCAAAAATAAAGCTGTTTTAAGCTTATTTAGCTTTATTTATTATATATTTTGCTATTTATAAATTAAATAGGCATTTCACTCTTGTTAATTAGAAGGAAAAAATGAAGAAAAACTTTTATTAAGTATAAGTTTTAATAGCAAAAAATAAAGAAAAAATATCAAATTATAAAAAATGAATAATAAATAATTAATTAAAAATTGAAATGAAAATTAAGTTAAAATAACTAAAAAATTTTTGTTTTAATAAAAATCAATAAATAATGATGATAATTTCTATAATAAAAATTATTTATTTAAATAAATTGAAATTAAAATATATAAAAAATATAAAAAATTATTAAAATAATATTTATAAATAAAATATACCTCAGATTAATATGGAGAGCCTAATGAGATAAAAGTGAAGAGCTTAAAAACTTTTTTTATTAATTTATATTAATTTAAAGGATATTAATAAAAAAATTAATAATTACTTCTTCTAAATTATTATAATTTTTAATCTATTATATCATTTATTATTTTTTTCAAAAATATTGAATAGCAAGCAATTTATGAAATTTAATTAACTAATTAATTATAAATGGATAAAAAGAACAAATAAATATATTAATTAATTAATTAATTATCAAATATTAATTTATATATTTGGTTTTATGAAGGAAAAATTAATTTAACATTCATATTTTAAACTTAATATTTGTATTTAAAATATATACTTAAAAATATATATAGTAGGAATTAGAGATGGCCAGTTATTTATTTAGTCATTATTTGAAAAAATTCTAGTAGTTAAAGAATAAAATTTTCAAATATAATAAATAATATTTAATATTAATAAACAAAAAAATAGGTTAAATAAAAAGTTTTAAATAACAGTTAAATTATTTTAAACTCATTTTTATAATTAAAAATATTTCAATTCAAAACAAATAAACTGTTTTTACAAAAGATTAAGTATTAAATTTGAGAGATTAGTGCACTTTCCTAAATCAATACCTAAATTTGATGCCCCAATTGCACAAATTTAATTTCCTCTTTTTAAATATTGAAAATATTGAAGAAAAAATATTTAATTAATTAGTTACTTAGAAGGAAAAATTGTAGAAAAAATTTGAAATTAAGAGTTATTTTTTATCAATAATAAAAGCAAAAGTTGAGAATAAAAAAATGAGTTAAATTAAGAAATATAGAAGAAGAAAAAATATAAGTACAATAAAAAAGAAAAAGAAAAATAAATCAATAAAAACTAATAAGCAAGTTAAAAGAATTATTTATATTTTTTAAATTTGATTTTATAGATAAAAATATCAAAATCCAAAACAAATAAACTGTTTTTTACTCAAGATTAAGTGTCAAATTTGAGAATTAAGCGCAATTGGCTAAAGCAGAACCTAAGTCTGATACTCCAATTGCACCAATTTAATTGCACCTTTTTATATATTGAAGAAAAAATATATAATTAATTAGTTACTTAAAAGGAAAAAATGAAGAAAAAATATAAAGTAATAAGAAATAAATTAATTAATAATAAAAGCAAAAGTTGAAATTAAAAAACAAGTTAAATTATGGAAGATAGAAGAAAAAAAAAACACAAGTACAAAAAAATTGAAAAACAAAAATAAATCAAATAAAAAGCTAATAAATAAATTAAAATTTATTTTTATAACTAAAAATATCACATTCAAAAACAAATAAATTGTTTTTACTCAAGATCAAGTGTCAAATATGAGATTTAAGCGCAATTTGCTATATAGTAGAACTTAAGTATGATACCCCAATTGCACCAATTTTATAGTAACTTTTTAAATATTAAAGAAAAAATATATAATTTATTAGTTTTTTAAAAGGAAAAAATGAAGAACAAATATAAAATAATAAGAAAAATGAATTAATAATAAAAGTAAAAATTGAAAATAAAATAAATTATGGAAGATAGAAGAAAAAAAACAAGTACAAAAAAATTGAAAAAGAAAATCACAATTCAAAAAAAATAAACTATTTTTACTCAAGACTAAGTGTCAAATTTTAGATATTAGCACAATTTGCTATTCTAGGATAATTATTTCTTGAGTAAGAAATATACATTTAATTAATAGAATAATAAATATTATTTAATAAAAAATTAAAAAATTAAAAGAAATAAAAAAAAGGTTTTCTTCTAGATTCACTTCATTTCTATCCACAATACTTTCCTCCATACTATTTTATTAGTTTAAATTTCTTCCTTAATTTAATTATAATTACTAGAGGAAAAACAAAGTTAAATGTTAGATTATATATTTCCTTCTTTTTATTTTATCATCAGTTTTAATTCAAGCCATGATAAAAAAAGTAAAGAAATATAAAGTGTATTGTTATATATTGTAGAGAGAGCTATTTAAGAATCTTTTATATCTAGATGGCTTCTTATTAATATCTTAGTAGAGCACGGTAAATATAATTTTATAATATAATTCCTTATAAAAGTATTATCTATCTATTTATGCCTTTTATAACTACTTTTTGATAAAATTAAAATGCAAATTTTACTCTTTTTAAATTTTTCAAATAAAAATAATGAGAAATCAGTCATCTTTATCATCATATTTGTAGATGTCTTATTATTAAAAAATCAATAAATATTCATATCAAAATGTTAAAAAGAGATAAAATAAGATTCAATTAGGATATCATTGATGATTATTTTAATTATTAAATAATATTATTTTATTCACAGCTTCGCAAGGTTTGTACATGATTTTTTTCAATTTAAACTTTTATTTGATTAGAATATTTAACTATTTAAAACATATTTGAAGTAAGTAGAAATGATTTCTGGTATATCAATTTTTAAAATTCTTGAATTCTTTTAAAAATGAATATCTTTTTTATTTTATAAAATATGGCTTAATTTCTCTCAAAATTTTGTTTAATAATTAGCAAAAAATTTAGTTATTTTATCAGGAAAGTAATAGGGAAAATAGTAATAAAATAGATAAAGAAATTGATTGATATACATACATCATACATACATACTATCAAAAATTATATTTATAATTTATTAACTAGCAAGCAAGCAATTACATTGTGAAAAAATATAGTTTTCATTAGGATAAATATTTCAATACAAATAAGATTGATTACAAATGGCTGCTAATAGAAAAAATGAATTAGAAGATCTTATGAAACAGATCTAAAATATGCCAGATAGTAAGTACATTTTATCAAGAGACATGCTTTAAAATAAATAAAAATTATTATTTAGATGACGAAGAAGATTTTGATGAAGAGGCAGAGAAAAAAAACATCAAAATGAGATTAGCTTAAGAGGAAAAAGAATTAGGTTAAATGGAAAAGCAAGTTAAGAGTCTAGCTGGTTAAGTTGGAGTTTAATTCGAGGATATGGACGAAGGAGACATAGTTGGGTAGGGAATCGGCTAAAGGAGTGTTGTAGGGAATAAATAATAATTACCCTAAAAATAGGCGCAGCAATAAAATAAAAAAAACCACAGTGAAGATTTAATGAATATGATCTAAAATATGAAAGATGTGGATAATAATGAAGACTTTGATGAAGCTTAGCATAGAAAGAATATGGCTATGTACAAGGAGGATGAAAAAGACTTTGAAAACGTCAATAAAATGATGAAAGGTCTTTAAGGATAGTTAGGAATAAAATTAGTAGATGATGATGGTGAAGGTCAAGTAAATAAGGGAAACTAACAGGTTTCATAAAAACAGGCTGCTTCTAGCAGCTAAGAGGAATCTATTATAAAGACGGATGAATAGTTTTCTAGCTTGAAGGACATGGTTTGCATTACTACATTTGCATATGAATATAAAAATACTGAAAAATATGTCTCAACCAAAAAATATCCTAAACTTTTTGAGCATTTTACTACAAAAAGACAAAAGATTGTTGATAACATTAACAAATTCAAGACTTGGATAAGCACTGGTTAGCTAAAGTCTGATGATTATATAACCAAGAACCTCGAAGGTGCTTTAGCTAATCAAGAAAGGCTGAAAAAGTCTGCAACTGGAAATATTGCTGCAACTATAGAATAGAGAATCAAATATATTAAATTAGAAATAGGAAAGTTAAGGTTAGACCCAAATTATATTTAAACTATATTAAAGAATGCATTTAATATCATCGGAGTAGCTGCATAACAGAAAGCTCCTCAAGCACCATCTATGACAGCAACTCAGATTTTGGCTGCATCTTAAGACCAGCTTTCCATTCCTGAAAAGATAAAACTGATATCAAAATACCATAAGCAAAATCACAACCTTGCTCTTTTCTACAGAGCAAATGTAAAAAATGAGTTTTTTTTTTGTATTTAATGGAATAATATTAATTTAGGTTCCTGAAATGGCTTAAGCTTTGCAAACATTCTACATTCCTACTCTTTAAGAATCAAACGAACTGATCAAGCAGTTATAGAATGGTTAAAATGTTTCTATTTCAAGCTTTATTGAGACAAAATTACTCGAAATAACTCCTGAAGTGTTTTAGAAATGTGATGTACAAAAATTCGAAGCAAGTAAATACATACAATTCATCAAAATTATGCTTTAATTTATTTTGATTGATTACTTTAATAATAAAAATAGATAGAAGTTTTTACATCGACAAGCTTGACTTAGCAATAAAGTCTGAGTTTGATCTTTAAAAGATGATTGCTAACTAAAAGAAAGTTGCAAAAGTGAATTAAATAAATGATCAGAGCAACTTAAGAATAAAATAATACGAAATAGCTAAATCAGCCCTCTAAAAGCTAAGTTTTAACTAATATCTTCTTTTCCCTTAAATAACTACTAAGGAAATAAAACTTGACTTCTCTCTAGATAATAAAGAGATCGACAAGAATGTTATTGTTATTATGCTGAAAAGGCTCGTTGACTGCAAAGCAGATAAATATAAAATAAGCTACTCCTTCACTCCTGAGCAGTAATGTCTTTCTCATTAAACAGACTGGTGTAATTAGTCCTTAGTCTTTAACAGCACTTAAAAGTTTACCTTATAGCAGGGAAAATACCCTCAGGATCTCCACAAAAAGAAAATAGATATTATTCTCTTCCAGAAAGGATTCTTTTCTGACAGTGAATATGCAAGGGGCAGCATTTCTTTAGCTGACTTGGAAACAAACAATACTATTGATTCTGCTCTTATCTTAGACCACAAAGGAAAGCATTTCTAATTGGAGGTACATTTAATTGTTAAAAATACATTTTGAAATCATTTATTAATATAAAATAGTATGGTGTTTATATCAGAGCACCTATTTCTAGTGTTGGTAGCAAATCAATAGTTGTTTATGAGTTTAAATAGTATCCTGCATTTAATGTAAACGAAGGAGTTGATGATTTTATCAAAAAAAACCTTGCAAATATTTAGCAAAAAGAGGAAGTAAATTAAAAGCCAGCTGTCGAGTAAGTTCAAAAGCAATAACCAAAAGAAGAAATTTAGCACTAGAAAACTCAATAGCAAGCATAATAATAATAATAAGCTCCTCAAAATATTGTTCAGCCATAAGAGTAATAGTAGTAGCCAGCATAATAGCAACCACAATAAGAGGAAGAAGAAGAATTTAAAGGAGAGAATCTAATTTCTGTAATTACAAATTGGTTATTAATTAATAATAAATTTAATATAAAAATAATAATTAGGACAAATTTGTTTATAGAGATGCTAATAGCGATGATTTGAAAAAGATTCAAGCATTTGATAAAATACCAGCAGGATTAACTGTAAATGATTTGTTGGATTTAGAGAATCCTTCTAAATATAGATGTATTTCTTACTTAGCCTGTGGTGAAGATATGATAAATAATGGTATAAAGGCAGGAGAATACACTGCTGTACAAAGGAGAAACATTAATAAAATAAAAACGAAATTCTAAGAAGAAAAAGAGGTAAATTTTATTTAAAATTACAAAATATTCAAATTTATTATAAAATAAGATATTAAAAATTCATTGTGAGTCTGGCAAAATCAGTGGTGAAGATTACGTTGATATTTAATAGAAATTAATTGACAATGATAATAAATTAATTTGGGCCTACACATAAATTGGGTTGCCAGATTGGGTTGAATTTGTTAAAGCTAGAAAGCAAATGATTGTCAATGATTTAAGGGATAACTGTGAAATTTAATATGAAGGAAAGCCATTCCCATGATTTAAAAATATTTATCTTTTTTATTCATTTAAATCTTATAAAATTTGTATTTTACTTAATCAATTTTGTCAAGTTAAGTCAACTTATTAAATATAAATGCATAAATAAATTGAATTTATTTCTCTTTTATTTAGTTTTTTAAACTTTTTATCTGATATTTTAATAAATTGTTTTTGATATTTTGGTTAGTTAAAAAAGTTAGTTTTTTTTCATTTAATTTAAGAATATTTGACAATTTAATTAATATTCTTATTTAATATCAAGATTTTGTTAGTATTTCCAAAGAAATAAAATAAAAATAAAGCAATCTCTTTTCTTTTATTAAAAGAAAAATTTTTGGCAAATAAATTCATTTATTCCAAATATTATTTGATTGAAGTAAATTAATTTGATATAATTCTTTTACAGAAATAAATAAATTGTATCTGAAACAAAATAAATAAAAATATACTTATTAATTTTGTTTGAGATGTTTTTAATTCCTTAATTGGCTCTAATTAATTCATCAGAACTAAAGTAATTAAATTAGTGAATAAATAGATGGATTAATATGAATAGAAATAATTTATATGAAAAGAATTTATGTAATTGTTGATTTTAAGTTAATTTATTTGTTAATATGTTAGTAGCAAAATATAAATATAAATTATTTATTTATTTAAATACAAAAATTCATATAATAGACTTATTTAATTATTAGTTTTGTTATAAATAAGTAGTTAGTTGTTATAGGTAAGATAAATTTAGAAGGTAGAGTAAAGATAATTATAAGATGAAGCTAAAAGATAGATCAGAGGGGTATAAGTTATTAGATTTAGTTTAAGTAAGAAAGATGGAGAATAAGTTTCACTTGAGGAGTGAGAAACTGCGATTAAGAAAGTTCAGATAGAGTTTGAAGTTGTTAGCTGTACCAATTTTTTTGTTTTCATCTTATCATCAGAGTGAGTAATTCATTTTGATTGAATTCTCAAAAAGCTTTAAGTTATTGCAACAAAAAATTGGTAGTTTCCAGCTTTTTTACCTAACGAGAGCTGCTATTTTTACCTTACGAGGAGAGGAAAAACAAAGATAGTCATAATATTTGACGATTAAAGAAGGAATCAACTAATTCTTCTTTGTCTTCAGCGTAGTTAATTATTTGATTGTGTTCGTTGAAAAGATTATAGCTATCTATCTATTCGGAGGGATAGTATTAGTATTGATAATTCATATATTAGGGGTATTCTTAGTATTATTGTACTTCTGCAACTGGAGCTGGTACAGGAATTATGTAAGCTTCTTCTTTTTTGTTGAAGTTGATTTGGTATTTTTGATGCTCTAAAGAATCAAAGCCTTGCTATTGATAGTTTTAGTATTGTTCTTGTGCGTGATTGACGATGTACTCATTCTATTCAAAGTCTTCTTCTAGTCTACTTGAAGAAGTAAAGAATTCAGGTTCAGAATTCAAATTTACGCTCACGCTGCTGTGATTGTCATTGACATAAATATTTTGATTTGATTCTTTGGGATATTGCTCATTTTGCTATATTGAATAGAGATATTCAAGTGATTTTAAGTTTTGAGCTGTAACTTGAGATTAGCTTTCTTGGTAACTAGTCGATTATTGCTATTAATTTGATAAAAGATTTGAATTTGAAATACTTTGTTACTAAGCATTATAAGAAGGCCCAAGTTGCTGTAATTACTAGCTAGAATTACAATTTTAAGAGTTTATTTATTAATAGTTAATTTACTTAATTTAATGTTTGTTTAAGATGATTTATTATTATTGTTATTATTATCCCAGATGATTTTAGTTATTAAAGTTATTAAGCTAGAAGGCTGATTATTAATTACCAATCGAAGATTAAGGAAAGGATAAAACACTGGCTGTATTCTAAGATTAGAAGTTGCTGCTTATTAAAGAAATATTATTTTAGGGAATCTAAATTAAATTAGTATTTAAATGAGCACTTTCATAATTTTTTTCAAAAATTTCTTCAGAGTAAGAATTCAAACTATGTTATTCTTCTTCTTCTTCATCGGCTACAGCAACTGAGTATCCCAAACCATTGACGCTGTTATTGTTGTTATTGCTGCTATTGTTATTAGTTGGGTAAAGGTTAGTAGTAGAAGTAAAAGTAGATACAGGTGAAGTGTAGATATTGCTATTTAAAGTAAATAGTTATTGCTATTGAAAAGGGAAGTTATCCTAATCCAATTATTGAGCTTCGCACCTCTTTTGCTTTGACATTTTTTTGGAGCTGCTATTTTTATTCTTTGCGCCCTTTTCATTTTCCTTAAGCATGTCATATTTAGAGAGTCTCATTTTGGTTTATTTGTCGTTAGGGAAAATAATGTTCCACAAGTCATAAAAAGAGTTTATTTCAAATTTGTTTGGAATATCACAATAAGTTAAAACCAAAAGACCAACGAACTGTTTTCTAATGGTCTTTTAGACAATATAATTTGTTTAGTCGGTTGTGCATGAAAAGTCTTCTAAATTGATAGAAAGCATATCTATGAGATTTTGCTTGAATTAGTTTACTTTTCCATAAGAAAGAAGAAGATCAAAGTAGTTTTTGAGGATGCTCATGTATTTAGGAATACTTTCATCGATATTAGAATGTATTTATTCTTTAACTTATTAAGTAGTGTTAAATTTTAAGACAGGAATCAATAAAGGAGCTGCGTGTTACTCCATAAAGTAGTTTTTAATTGAATCAAGAAACCATTTATTAAGGAGATTCCTCCTACTCTTAGTTTAATTGCTATTATATTCTTTAAGCCATTAGATATTATTTCTAATAATTTCAATAACTTCTTAGTAGCTTAATGAAGGTCTAGCTACTGGAGATGATTTCAAAATACTTGACATTTCGGGTATTAAATATGATGCTTTAGTTAATTCTTTGTTTGTTTGTTTGTTTGTTTGTTTGTTTATTTGTATGATATAAATCTTAACTATTTTGATTGTTGCTTTTAAGCAAATCTTTTTTTTTTTTAGAGATAGTAAAATTAATTGAATCTTATGAATTACAAATATATTGAATGTATATTTCTTCTTTTTATAATTTTTTGTAATAATTTTAAGAAAATAAAATAGATGATATTCAATAAGTAACCAGCCTATCTATGATTCCTACCCCCATTTAATAAAAAATGATCGTAACAAATTTATTTATTATATTTGCAGCACGCAAAACTAAAATATTATTGAAGTATTTGCTAATTGCAATATAAAATTTTAAAAATATTTTAAAATAATTGTCATTCAAATAAAAAAAGGCTGTGCGGACACCATACATTTTTATTAAATATAGAAAAAGACTTATGAAAATTCATTGCTTTACTATTTTGAATGCTTGAAATCTGATTAATTTGTATTTTTTATGTACATTTAAATTTCATAAAGCTTACTCATTCCTTTTCAATTTATTTGTTGCAAAAACACACTAAATTATATTCAAAAGAGATGATAGCACTGCTAAATGTCTAAAAAAAATTACTTTTTAAAAATGCGATATAATTTTTTGATAGATTATTGCCTGTCAAAAGCCCAAAAGACATTTTTCCATTTTATGAATGAATCTCTTTTCAAATTATTAATTAATTGAAGCCAGAATACCTGCATCATTTTATATCCAAAATTACATTATAAAAATTTTTTTGTTACGTATTATTAATATTTTTTTTTAATTCTGAAAAAATCTTAGTTATTAACTACAACGTATAAGGGGGAAAAGTAAATTTAGTCATTTTAAAAATTGCTTGTTTGAAAGAACGCACTGCTCAATTAATAACATACTAGGTCGCTCATGAGTATTTATGTAAATGTAACAAAAAATTAAATTCGTTTATTTAACATTTAAATTCATAATCCAAACAAAATCTTTCTTGTTAGTTGAAGCTAATTTTATAGTTTTTAGGAATGCTATATCTCATTTATCTACGCCATTTAAGCTATTTAATTTTTACATCATCTATTTTGCAGCAATACTTTTTTCTTTGCATGTAATTAGAAACAAGTATAAAATAGAAAACTAACATCGATCCGAATTAGAAGTTTTTCCAAATAAAAAATAACCAATTTTTAATTCTACTTCTATCTATATATTAAGTAGAATTTTATGAATTGAGGATATGTTGATGTTTATAACAGAAATTTATAATAAGTAAAGAGGAATAGATAATAATTAATTAGATTTGAAGGATATAATTAATCTCTTTTATATACCGATTAATCCAATTCAATAATATAGATTTTTCAGATATTTTGAATAAATTAATTACACTTAAGATATCTATAATAGCTACCATTTTTTAAATTAATTACTTAAGTAAGTTTCATTTTTCTTTTTGCTAAATTAATAAAAAATGGAATAAGCTAATACTCTATAGCAAACAACTTGAGAATTTATTTTTAAAAATTCAAATGAATGAATGACCTATTAACTAACCAACAAATAAAATTTAATAAAAAACACAAACAAATTAAAAAGCTTTCATTCAAAAAAGTTAATAAGTTTATTAAATTTTCCTAATTAATCAATGGGTTTGTTCGTATATTTGTTTCATATGTTTCCTTTGCGCGGATATTTTATTTAAATATATTAATATTTTGTTTGTTTGCTTGCTTGCTTGGTCGTTTGATCCTTTCATGCATTTTTTTCTGTTTTTCTTTCATATGAATTCAAAAGTAAAGAGAATGTTAATTAGAAGAACGACTTCCCATTTTAATATTGGCTCTGTATATAAAAATTAATACAAAATAGCTGTAATTTAAAATATTTTAATTTGACTGTTTAAAAATCGTTTTTTACAATTTAGTAACTATTTTAAGTAAAAATGGGTTTGAAATGCTTACCATGATGATTTACTTTGGCGTAATGTAAGGAGGATGGTTTCATTTGATTAATAGAACTTTATTTAGTAAGCTATTACAAAAATTAATTTAAATGCATTCACAATTAAAGGCTATTTTTTTGAGTTTTTTATTTGCTTTTGAAAAAGCGGCTAGTAGTGCTCAATGTAAATTATTTATTTCTAAGAATTAAATTAACTAACTAACTAATTAATTTTTATCTGCATTTTACCCACCCGTAACAAAGGTGCATAATTAATATATTTAAAGATTTCTATTTGATGCATTATGTGGCTATTGCAAATGAATGTAAATCCCTCTATTTCTATAGAGAATATAATAGCTTTAAAACTATAACTGTAAATTTATTTTATAATATTGGAAACTATTTCTCTGATTTCAATTTTCTAAAAGTTTTATGTTTATAATTTAATATTACACAAGTATCAAATAATTAAGACGGCTTCCTGTCTAGCGCAATCAAGAAATCAATGAATTTAATTAAATATATTTTTAAATAAAATCATAGCTAGGCATTTTAAAATTTAAGTAGAAAATTGACGACTTTGATTAGAATCTAAATACAGATTCACTTAAGATATTCAAAATAAATTTAGTGAATTAAAATCTTGCGTAGATGCTTTATTGAAGAATAAATCAAATATTTGAAATCCAAATTTATTTAGAAAATTTGCACTAAAAATTTTAAAATTTATCTATATAGATAACTATCTTTCGATCTATCTATTTTAGTTAATTAGCTATATAAATTGTATTAAATATTTAATTTATTTTCTAACATTCTTTTTGGTTATTCAAAAATGAATTTTATTAGTAATATAAATAAATAGACTTCATATTCTATCTTTCCTTTTATAAAAACTAAAAATAGAGTCTATCTATTAATAATCTATCTTTCTGCATATCTGTCTATCAATCTAGTAATTTATTTATTATATATATTAATTAATTCACTATGTTACTCTATATTTAACATAAAACTTCATTCTACTAAATCTATATTACACTATAGTCTGGGTCGCTACGAAAAATTTTCAATTTATTGATCATTCTTATTAAATTTTAATTAACTTACTTTAACATAGAGATTTTCTATAACTTTTTATCTAGTTTTAAAATTTAACCATTTGATTTCAGCTAGAATAGGATTGGAGTTTAAAACCATATTTGATCAATCTTGATATGATTTGATTTAAAATCAAATTCATGTATGTTATTACTAATCATTATTTATTAAAAAGTCTAAATCACAATTTGATGAACAAAGCAGATCCTTTTCTGATTTTTTATTTATGTTTTATTTTTTTATATTACCATCTAAAATGGTTCTAGTCTAAATATTTGATAGAATAATAGCTAATTACATATCTTCATTTTATGGTTTTTATAAGCAATAAAAACATATTTATTTTACTTCCAAATAAAACAAGTTCAGTTTTTTATTATTTCAGTAATTTAATTTTTGTTAAAAGCTTAAAAATAGAATCTAATTTTAGTATCATAAATTATGTACCATTATAACTGAATAAATTTATTTAAGATTTACACTTTATATTTTAAAAAATTTAAAATCTATTTTATTAAAAAAGTTTTTATTTCTCTGAAAAAAAAATATTCAATGACATACATACATTTTAGAGTTGTTTTTGCACTAAAAGTAAACTCCATAAAATACCACAAAGTATAAATATTAATTCAGTAATTAAAATTTAGAACAACTTATTGTACTAATAAATAAAAATTTCTTTTTGTAAACCCCCCAAAATTTTAAATTAACTAGTTCAAAATTTATCTCTACTTAATGTAAGTAATTGATATTTAAAAATATTTTCAAAGAAATTTATTAATATTAATTTTTAAAAAAAACATTATGAATGATTTAAAGATTAGCTTTGACATTTTTATTAATCAATATATGGAAGGATCAAATGATATATAGATAGATCTAATTATTTATTGAATTATATATTAAAATAAAACTAGTTTGTTATGTAGCACTTAACGGATTAATAATTGAATGATATTAATTTTTTCTTAATTTATTCTAAATTCTTCTTTTAATATGAAACTTTAAACACAATTATCTTTTATCTATCGATATTTGGTACTATCTAATAAAAGTTATACACTTACTTACTCTTCAAGAAAATTTTAATATATTATGCTCTTTGAAAAATATTTAATTAAATAATTTTATACAAAATGTAAAACATCAAATATGTGGTTATATTTTTCTATTTAATTTATCTCATTTTTTATTTAAGTTAAGAATATGAAAGAAAATATATAAAAATTTAATTCTTTTGATTCATTAGATAAGTATTAGTTTTCATATTATTTTATTATTGAAACTATAGTTTTTTGTATATTCTAATTTATTTTAACTTGATTATTATCAAAATTTGTATGAACTCTATTAAAAAAAAACAAATGCTGAAATAATTTTTAAAAAGTATTGGTAAATATTTTGGTTTTTTAAAAGAGTCAGTATGTACAAAAGATTAAACAAATAATTATATATTTTTTCTTAAAATTGAATTATATTGAAGAAAGAAACAATTTATAATCACAATTACGATGATGATTATTACTATTATTATTAAAATGATTATGCACTAAAGTTTATGAATTTATGATTAAAAACTTCAAATCGATTTAATAGATACCTATTTTTTTAAATAAAGCATAATAAATATTCATTTTTACCATTTATTTTTTAAAATTTTTATAATCTGATAAGGAATAAAATATTCATTTTCTATCCTTTTATAAAAACTAAAAATAGGGTATATCTATCCATCAATCAATCTATTAATTAATATTGTTTTTTATCTAAATAAAATAATAATTATTAATTACATTTTTATTGAATAAAATTTTATTCTACAAAATCGAAAATACACTTTCTTGCACCAACCACCTTAAATTATTCAATTTATTTTTCATTCTTCTTCAATTTTAATAAACTTCAGTACAAAGATTTTTTTAACTTTATACCTGTTTTAGAATGAAGTTAAAATTTAACATTTAGATATCAACTAGTATAGGAACAATTTAAAACCAGATTTGATTAATTTTTATTAGACTTAATTTATAATCAAGTTCAAGTATGTTATTATTAACAATCTGATCAGCCAAACAGATCATTTTCTGACTTTATATTTATGTTCTATTCTAGTTATATTACCAACTGAGAAGGTTCTATTCATTCCGAATATTTGATTGAATAATAATTTCAAAATTAATTACATAATTTAATTTTATAGATTTTATAATCAATATGAAGCATATTCTTTTTATCTATGCACAAAATATGTTCAATTATATATTATTTCAGTTAATTGATTTTTGATTTAAAAGCTTAAAATAGTACCTAATTTTAGTATTTGATTTATTTATCGTTTTAACTGAATAAATTAGTTAAAATTTACATCTGTTTTTTTAAAAAATTTTAAATTGAATTTATTATAAAAGTTTTGTTTTGTTCAAAAGAAAATAAATAAATGGCTAATTTGTGAAGTTTTTGTAGTTCTAAAACTAAGCTTTTTAATATACCAGAAAAATAAATATTATTTCCGTAATTTAAATTTAACACAATTTGTAATAATACTAATATAATAAATAAATAGGATATATATTTTGTTACAAAACTCTAATATTTTAAATTAATTAGCTGGTTCAATTTTATCTTTATTTAGTCTAAATTGATTTTTTAAAATACTTAAATTAAAATATAATAATTTATATTTTTATAATTAATTTTTTAAATATTACTAATTATTAAAGATTACATATTTTTAAAGTAACTTTTATATATTCATATATTAATAGATGAATTTATAGATAGGTATATATATTTTTTGTAATAGCTTGTTTGGTAAATTAAACAAAAAACTAGTTTTTTATATTACACTATTTAAATCAATCACAGAAAAACTATAACACTTTGATTATATATTCTCAATTATTTATTTTTTTATGAAGTATTTATTACACTTAATTTTCTATTTATGTAACTTATTCATTAAATCGAGTTTTACATTGAATCCTCAAGTTACATAGAATATTTTATTTTATTTTTTTAAATTAAATCAAATAATGTAACATATCAAATATGTGGTCAAACACTTTATTGGTATTAATTTATTTAAATTACTTTTTAAGTAACCAAAATAATTACAAAAAATAAATTTAATTTTTTTAGAATTTAATAATAATAATTTTTAAATTTGAAGAAATGCTAATTAAGTAAGTTTACTAACTGACTAGTTTTTTTAGAATTTAATTTACTTTTCATTAATATAAAAAAACTATTTTTAAATTAAACATTTTTATATTAATTTTTAACAAAAGTTCAAAGTTTTTTTATTTAATCAGCTTGAGTAGATTAATTCATTTTAATAAAAGATATTAGACTAAAAAATTTAATTTTACAATCATTTATTGATAATTTATCAAATATAAATAATCAGTATATGTGTTAATTAATTTGAAAATTTTGGCAATGGTAATAGATACAAATTGTTTATAAATTACCTAGATTAATTTTGTTAATTCTATAGATAAGTATCAATTTTAATATTATTATATAACTGAAACACTAATTACTTGTATATTAGTATTAATTTTAAGCAGATTCTTTTCAAAATTCATAGTTTTATATCTAAGAATTTTAATACTATTGCATTCTTTATTGAAATCATTCATCTTCTTATTTCATATATATTTTTAATTATATGTTTTAAATATAAATATTTAGATTAAATAATGAATTTTAAATTAATTTTTCTGTGATATCTCTTCATAAAACCAGATTAATAATTATTATATTTTGTTTGTTCTTTTTATCCATTTATAATTAATTAATTAAATTTCATAAATTGCTATTCAATATTTTTGAAAATATAAATAAATGATATAATAGATTAAATATTATAAAAAATTAGAAGAAGTAATTATTAATTTTTTAATTAATATCCTTTAAATTTATATAAATTAATAAAAAAAGTTTATAGGCTCTTCATTTTTATCTCATTAGGATCTCAATATTGATCTCTAGTATATTTTATTTATTAATAAATATTATTTATATTATTATTAAAATTTTTTATAAATTTAACTTTCAATTTATTTAAATAAATAATTTTTGTTTTTGATATTATCATAATTATTCATTGATTTTTATTAAAACTAAAATTTTTTAGCATTTTAACTTAATTTTTATTTGAATTTTTAATTATTTATTATTCATTTTTTATTATTTGATATATTTTCTTCATTTTTTGCTATTAAAACTTACACTTAACAAAAGCAGTTTACTAGTTTTGGATTGTAATATTTTTAATTATAAAAGTTAATTTAAAGCATTAAAGCTTTTTTAATTTATTTTATTTATTTTCCTTTTTCTTTTTATTATGATTTCTTTTTTTTTCATAATCTTATCATTTCATATTTTTTCTTCATTTTTTCCTTCTAATTAACTAGAGTGAAATGCCTATTTAATTTATAAAAGGCTAAAATTTAATATTTATTAATAACATAAAAAATAAAGCTAAATTAGCTTAAAACAGCTTTATTTTTGAGTTTTTAGAAAGCTTTAAATTGACAAAATGTAAAATTTCAAATATTATATATAAACTGTATATTCTTATAACATATCATTTTTTTGAAAAATTTAACGAACTCAAAAATCAATAGTTTTAAATAAAAACACAGTAATAAAACTCGCTTTTTTTTAATTTGTATGGGAACTTACTCTATTTAATGATATTTTTTTATTTAATATTTAAAAAGTTACAATTCAATTGGTGATAAAGGTTCTTCAGGCTTAGGTTCTGGTTTAGCAAATTGCATTAATCTCTCAAATTTGAAACTTAATCTTCGGTAAAAACAGTTTATTTATTTTGGATTGTGATATTTTTAATAAAAAAACTCATTAAACACAATAAAGCTCTTTTTTCTTTTTCTTTTTATTGTGCTTGCTTTTTTTTGTTCTTTCTTTCTTCGTTAATTTAACTCATCATTTTATTTTCAAGTTTTGGTTTTATTATTAATTAATCTTATTATTTCATATTTTTCTTCATTTTTTCCCTATTTAATGATATATTTTTTCTTCAATATTTAAAAAGTTCGAATATAATTGGTGCAATGGGTGCATCAAACTTAGGTTCTGGTTTAGCAAATTGCATTAATCTCTCAAATTTGACACTTAATCTTAGGTAAAAACAGTTTATTTATTTTGGATTGTGATATTTTTAATTATAAAAACTAATTAAAAATAATAAAGCTCTTTTTTCTTTTTCTTTTTATTTTACTTGCTTGCTTTTTTTTGTTCTTTCTTTATTTGTTAATTTAGCTCATCATTTTATTTTAAACTTTTGCTTTTATTATTAATTAATCTTATTATTTCATATTTTTTCTTCAATAATAAAAAAAAGTTATAATTTAATTGGTGATAAAGGTGCATCAGGCTTATGTTCTGCTTTAGCAAATTGCATTAATCTCTCAAATTTGACAGTTGATCTTTGGTAAAAACAGTTTATTTGTTTTGGATTGTGATATTTTTTCTTCATTTTCTCCTTTTAATTAACTATTTAATGATATATTTTTTCTTCAATATTTAAAAAGTTAAAATTATATCGGTGATGAAGGTGTATCAGGCTTAGGTTCTGCTATAGCAAGTTGCATTAATCTCTCAAATTTGACACTTGATCTTGTGTAAAAACAGTTTATTTACTTTGGATTGTGATATTTTGAATTATAAAAACTAATTAAAAACAATAAAGCTCTTTTTTCTTTTTCTTTTTATTGTTTTTGCTTTTTTTTGTTCTTTCTTTGTTAATTTAGCTCATCATTTTATTTTCAAATTTTGCTTTTATTATTAATTAACCTTATAATTTCATATTTTTCTTCATTTTTTCCCTATTTAATGATATATTTTTTCTTCAATATTTAAAAAGTTCGAATATTATTGGTGCAATAGGTTCATCAAACTTAGGTTCTGCTTTAGCAAATTGCATTAATCTCTCAAATTTGACACTTAATCTTAGGTAAAAACAGTTTATTTGTTTTGGATTGTGATATTTTTAATTATAAAAACTAATTAAAAACAATAAAGCTCTTTTTTTCTTTTTCTTTTTATTGTCCTTGCTTGCTTTTTTTTGTTCTTTCTTTATTAATTTAAGTCATCATTTTATTTTCAACTTTTGCTTTTATTATTAATTAATCTATCTTATTATTTCATATTATTTCTTCATTTTTTCCTTCTAATTTACTATTTAATGATATAATTTTTCTTCAATATTTAAAAAGTTTGAATAAAATTGGTTCAAATGGTGCATCAGGTTTAGGTTCTGCTTTAGCAAAGTGCATTAATCTCTCAAATTTGACACTTAATCTTAGGTAAAAACAGTTTATTTGTTATGGATTGTGATATTTTTAATTATAAAAACTAATTAAAAACAATAAAACTCTTTTTTCTTTTTCTTTTTGTTGTGCTTGCTAGCTTTTTTTGTTGTTTCTTTTTTAATATAAATCATTATTTTATTTTCAAATTTTGTTTTTATTATTAATTAATCTTATTATTTCATATTTTTTCATCATTTTTTCCTTCTAATTAACTATTTAATGATATATTTTTTCTTCAATATTTAAAAAGTTAAAATGAAATTGGTGATAAAGGTGCATCAGGCTTAGGTTCTGCTTTAGCAAATTGTATTAAACTCTCAAATTTAACACTTGATCTTGGGTAAAAACAGTTTATTTAGGATTGGGATATTTTTAAATATAAAAGCTAATTAAAAACAATAAAGCTCTTTTTTCTTTTTATTTTTATTTTGATTGCTTTTTTGTTCTTTCTTTGTTAATATAGCTCATCATTTTATTTTAAACTTTTGCTTTTATTATTAATTAATCTTATTATTTCATATTTTTTCTTCATTTTTTCCTTCTAATTAACTATTTAATGATATATTTTTTCTTCAATTTTTAAAAAGTTCGAATAAAATTGGTGATTAAGGTGTAACAGGCTTAGGTTCTGCTCTAGCAAATTGCATTAATCTCTCAAATTTGACACTTAATCTTCGGTAAAAATAGTTTATTTATTTTCGATTGTGATATTTTTAATAAAAAAATTTAATAAAAACAATAAATCTCTTATTTCTTTTTCTTTTTTATTTTGATTGCTTTTTTTGTTCTTTCTTTGTTAATTTAGCTCATCATATTATTTTCAACTTTTGCTTTTATTATTTATTTCTTATTATTTCATATTTTTTCTTCATTTTTTCCTTCTAATTTACTATTTAATGATATATTTTTTCTTCAATATTTAAAAAGTTCGAATAAAATTGGTGCAATAGGTGCATTAAACTTAGGTTCTTCTTTAGCAAATTGCATTAATCTCTCAAATTTGACACTTGATCTTCGGTAAAAATAGTTTATTTGTTTTTGATTGTGATATTTTTAATTATAAAAGCTAATTAAAAATAATAAAGCTCTTTTTTCTTTTTCTTTTTCTTTTGATTACTTTTTTTGTTCTTTTTTTGTTAATATAGCTCATCATTTTATTTTCAATTTTTGCTTTTATTATTAATTAATCTTTCTTATTATTTCATATTTTTCTTCACTTTTTCCTTCTAATTAACTATTTAATGATATATTTTTTCTTCAATAAAAAGTTCGAATAAAATTGGTGCAACGGGTGCATCAAACTTAGGTACAGCTTTAGCAAATTGTATTAATCTCTCAAATTTGACACTATGGCTTTAGTAAAAACTGTTTATTTATTTTGGATTGTGATATTTTTAATTATAAAAACTAATTAAAAACAATAAAACTCTTTTTTTTATTTTTCTTTTTATTGTGCTTGCTTTTTTGTTCTTTCTTTGTTAACCTATTAGCTCATCATTTTATTTTTAACTTTTGTTTTAATTATTAATTATTAATTAATCTTATTATTTCATATTTTTTCTTCATTTTTTCCTTTTAATTAACTATTTAATGATATATTTTTTCATCAATATTTAAACAGTGAAAATTAAATTGGTGCAATGGGTGCATCAGACTTAGGTTCTGCTTTAGCAAATTGCATTAATCTCTCAAATTTGACACTTGATCTTCGGTAAAAACAGTTAATTTGTTTTTGATTGTGATATTTTGAATTATAAAAACTAATTAAAAACAATAAAGCTCTTTTTTCTTTTTCTATTTATTGTTCTTGCTTTTTTTTTGCTCTTCTTTTGTTAATTTAGCTCATCATTTTATTTTCAACTTTTGCTTTTATTATTAATTAATTTTATTATTTCATATTTTTTCTTCATTTTTTCCTTCTAATTTAATACTATTTAATGATATATTTTTTCTTCAATATATCAAAAGTTCGAATAAAATTGGTGCAATGGGTGTCTCAAACTTAGGTTCTGCTTTAGCAAATTGCATTAATCTCTCAAATTTGACGTTTGATCTTCGGTAAAAACAGTTTATTTGTTTTTGATTGCGATATTTTTAATTATAAAAACAAATTAAAAAGAATAAAGCTCTTTTTTCTTTTTCTTTTTATTGTGCTTGCTTGCTTTTTTTGTTATTTCTTTGTTAATTTAGCTCATTATTTTATTTTAAACTTTTGCTTTTATTATTAATTAATCTTATTATTTCATATTTTTTCTCCATTTTTTTCTTCTAATTTACTATTTAATGAGATATTTTTTCTTCAATATTTAAAAAGTTCAAATAAAATTGGTACAATGGGTGCATCAGGCTTAGGTTCTGCTTTAGCAAATTGCATTAATCTCTCAAATTTGACACTTAATCTTAGGTAAAAACAGTTTATTTGTTTTGGATTGTGATATTTTTAATTATAAAAACTAATTAAAAACAATAAAGCTCTTTTTTTCTTTTTCTTTTTATTGTCCTTGCTTGCTTTTTTTTGTTCTTTCTTTATTAATTTAAGTCATCATTTTATTTTAAAATTTTGCTTTTAACATTAATTTATCTTATTATTTCATATTTTTTCTTCATTTTTTCCTTCTAATTAACTATTTAATGATATATTTTTTCTTCAATATTTAAAAAGTTCTAATAAAATTGGTTCAATGGGTGCATCAGGCTTAGGTTCTGGTTTAGCAAATTGCACTAATCTCTCAAATTTGACACTTGATCTTAGGTAAAAATAGTTTATTTGTTTTGGATTGTGATATTTTCAATTATAAAAACTAATTAAAAATAATAAAGCTCTTTTTTCTTTTTCTTTTTATTGCGCTTGCTTTTTTTTGTTCTTTCTTTGTTAATTTAGCTCAACATTTTATTTTTTCTTAATTTTTTCCTTCTAATTAACTATTTAATGATATATTTTTCTTCAATATTTAAAAAGTGAAAATTAAATTGGTGCAATTGGTGCATCAGGCTTAGTTTCTGCTTTAACAAATTGCATTAATCTCTCAAATTTGACACTTGATAATCGGTAAAAACAGTTTATTTGTTTTGGATTGTGATATTTTTAATTATAAAAACTAATTAAAAACAATAAAATTCTTATTTCTTTTTCTTTTTGTTGTGCTTGCTTGCTTTTTTTTGTTTTTTCTTTGTTAATTTAGCTTATCGTTTTATTTTCAAATTTTGCTTTTATTATTAATTAATCTTTTATTTCATATTATTTCTTCATTTTTTCCTTCTAATTAACTATTTAATGATATATTTTTTCTTCAATATTTAAAAAGTAAAAATTTAATTGGTGATACATACATACATACATACTCGCACATGGTTACATGCACTCGGGATAGGGGCCCTATATATAATTACTTATACATTATTATTATACGTATACCAATTTATTTATATATAATTGTGGGTAATATACTAGAAGGGAAGGGTCACCTACACCCTAATGGCATTTCTACTAATCTTCCATGATTTGACTACGCATTATGCTCGCTTCCCATTTGTATTCCAGATCTTCTGTTCAGAATGGGGCCTCCTCTTTACCTCCTATCAGATTTGGCCCTTCCCTCCTACCAAGGAGACCGCTGGTAACATTCACATTTTTACATTGAATTTTTCGAAATAAAGGGGGCGGTATAGGATTCGAACCCCCGATATCACTGCTAAGACCCTCCGACTCGCCCACTCGAGTCGCTTAGCCCTTCTTTAATTGGTGATGAAGGTGCATCAGGCTTAGGTTCTGCTTTAGCAAATTGTATTAATCTTTCAAATTTGACACTTAATCTTCGGTAAAAACAGTTTATTTGTTTTGGATTGTGATATTTTTAATTATAAAAACTAATTGAAATTATAAAACTCTTTTTTCTTTTTCTTCCTGCTTTTTTTTGTTCTTTATTTCTTTCTTTGTTAATTTAGCTCATCATTTTATTTTAAACTTTTGCTTTTATTATTAATTAATCTTATTATTTCATATTTTTTCTTTATTTTTTCATTTTAATTAACTATTTAATGATATATTTTTTCTTCAATATTAAAAAGTGAAAATTAAATTGGTGCAATGGGTGCATCAGTCTTAGGTTCAGGTTTAGCAAATTGCATTAATCTCTCAAATTTGACACTTGATCTTCGGTAAAAACAGTTAATTTGTTTTGGATTGTGATATTTTTAATTATAAAAACTTATTAAAAACAATAAAGCTCTATTTTCTTTTTCTTTTTATTGTGCTTGCTTTTTTTTGATCTTTCTTTTTTAATATAAATCATTATTTTATTTTCAACTTTTGCTTTTATGATTAATTAATTAATCTTATATTTTCATATTTTTTCTTCATTTTTTCCTTCTAATTTACTATTTAATGATATATTATTTCTTCAATATTTAAAAAGTATAAATTAAATTGGTGCAATGGGTGCATCAGTTTATAAATTTTGGATTTAAATATTTTAAACTATAAAAATGAATATAAAACAAAAAAGCTCTTTGAATTTATTTGATAGCTTTTATTTGATTTATTTTTTTATCTTTTTTATTCCACTAATGTTATTATATTTATTAATTGAAGAAATAATTTTTAATTAAAAATTTTATTCTATTTTGATATTTATTTAAAATTTATACAAATTTATTTTAATATTATTAGCCCAATGAATGCATCATAAAGATTCTAAGTAATAAGTAGGTGTCTTAAATCAAAAAGATTAGTTGTCTTTAAAAAAGTATTCTGGTGATAAACAAGTGGTGAAAATAGGATGAATAAATATTAAATGTTTGAATAATAAAATAAATTTTATTATTTAATATTTTCAAAAAGTTTTTTCATCTAAAAGATAAATAGATAAATAGATTTTATTATTGATTTTATATTTATAAATATTATTCATATTTATTTTTGTAAGTAAATAAATTATTAAAAAAAATAAAAAAATTTAAAAATTGAAAGAGGGGATTGAATTAAAGAAACTTACTATATTCTTCTAATTTCGCATTCTTATTATCCTTTATATAAAGTTTTCAACTTCTTTTTTATTCTTCTTCAATTTTAATTAACTTCAATACAAAATTTTTTTAAATTTTATACATGTTTTAGAATGATGTTAAATTTAACTTTTAGATATCAGCTAGTATAGGTAGAATTTAAAATCGGATTTAATTAATTTTTAAAAGATTTAATTATAATCTAGTTCGAGTATGTATGTTATTATTAATAATCTGATCAACCAAATAGATCATTTTATGACTTTATATTATATTCTTTTTATACTACCAACTGAAAAGGTTCTATTCATTCTGAAAATTTGATTGAACAATAGCTTCAAAATTAATTACATAATTTCATTTTATAGCTTTTATAAATATTATGAGTATACTCTTTTTATTCTGCAAAAAACAAATTCAATTATATATTATTTCAGTAATTTGATTATTGGCTTAAAAGCTTAAAATAGAACCTAATTTTAGTAACTTGGTTTATGTATTGTTTAAAGTGAATAAATTAGTTAAAATTTACATTAGCCTTTTTAAAATTTTTAAATAGAATTTATAATAAAAGTTTTATTTTGTTCAAAAGATAATGAATAAATAGTTAATTTGTGAAGTTGTTTTAGTTCTAAAAATAAACTTTTTATAATACCAGAAAAAAAATAAATATTATTTCAGTAATTTAAATTTAGCGCCAACTATAGTACTAACACAATAAATAGGATATATATTTTGTTATGAAACTCTGATATTTTAAATTAGCTGCACAAATTTATCTTTATTTAGTTTAAATTGGTATTTAATAATATTTTATAATAAAATTATTTACATTTATATAATTACTTTTTAAAAAATACTAATTACTAAAGATTACATATTTTTGAAGTGACTTTCATATACTTATAGATTGATAGATTAATTGATGGATATATATAAATATAGATATATTTTGTAATACCTTGCTTGGTAAATTAAACAAAAAACTAGTTTTTTATATTACACTATTCAATTTAATCACTGAAGCACTTTAAAACTTTAATTATCTATCCTAACTTATTTAATTTTTATGAAGTTTTACACTTACTTTTCTATTTATGGAACTCATCAAATAGAGTTTTACATTAAATCCTAAGTTACATGAATATTTTATGTTTTGTAATAAAATTAAATCAAAAACTGTAATATATAAAATATGTGGTTTTAATTATATATATATATATATCTGTTCCTGCATTTGAAATAAAACGAACCATGATATCATATATGATTTGTGTTAATAATAGCATTCTCATATGAATCAAGTCTGTTTGGATGTTTATTGAGGTTTTATAGTAAATGAATAAAATTTCTTATAATATTATTTGTATATATTACTTTCAAATTTTTGCTTTTATTCCTATGAAATGATTGGATAATTTTTAATTTTGTGTTAAAAAATAATCCATTAACTATTTTTTAATTAATTATTGTATTATTTCATAAGATTAACTATTAGAAATCAATTCATTAATTTTATTTTGATTAATTTTACTGCCAATCTTTTTTTTAACTTACAACTACAATCATTTTATTTATATTTAAGTTAAATATTTTACCTAAAATCAATCAGCCATCTTGAAAAAAATATTGTTTGAATTTTTTTTTCTTACCAAATTTTTATTTCAATATCTTTAAAGTGATATCTTTGTAATGAATTAAATAAATTCCTTTTAATTTTCTGGTAAATATATTGATAGAACCACTTTGATAAAAATTAGTTTACATAATTACAATATTTTTTATATTTAAATTCATTAAAAATTTTTGATAAATTAAGTTTTTATATTTATCTATAGTAATTAATTAATCATTTTGACAATAATATTATCATTTAAGGCAAAGAGGATATTAAGTTTGGCTAAATTAAAACTAGTTTTGTTAAAATCATTAGAAATTATAATTAATTAAAATATTCATTAAATAATAATCTTTCAAGCATAGTAAAAATAATACATATAATTATTAATTTGCAATTATACAATTTCAGTGCTTAATTAGGTAATATAAATTAAAAAATTATCTAGTTGATTAATATATATTTTCTAACAGATTAAACACATCTTTTAATATATAAATAATAAAAGCAATAATAAATGATAAATAAAAATAGAACAAAATATAAACAATAGATTAGTTAGCCTTTCAACATTTAGATGAAAGAAAAAAAGCATGATTAGAAATAAAGTACTTAGCAATCATAAACTAAGATTTCAAAAGTATCTCACAAGTTTAATAACTTGCGGCTGAGAAAGTTTTATACTGAAGAGATGATTCATTTAATTCGCCCTTTGAGACTTAACAAACTATTATCAATTATAATTATTATAATTAGTAGGATAACAATACTGTCCTTCATTTACAAGGACAAGAGTTAATACTCTAACAATTCTCATGTATCTCAAAAATAAAATTAAAAGCGACTTTAAAGTTTAGCAAGTTATCCATAGTATTTATAAATATTTCCTTTATTTGACCACTACTTAAAAGCTATAGCCCCTTATTATTCTACTATATTTATAGCTTTTGCTTTAAATATTTTTTTTATTAGTTCTTTGGTGCTATCCTTTTCACTAAAAAATTTAGAAATCAATAACATTAAATTTAAATTGTAAAAATTTTGCTAATTCTACACAACAATTTACAACCAATGGCTATTTTACGTTTCTTTAAATTCTGCATTTAAACTAATAACACTGCAAGATTTAGAATAACCAATAGATCTTATTGCTATTTCTTACATAAATATTTTCTTGACTATTGGAATAGGTATCGTTGTTATATAAATTTTAAATTTCTAAGTCAAATCAATTAAGTATTAATCAATCATAATTTTTAATACAGTCTTTTCAAAACTAGTAACTCGTGGTTTATCATAAATATTTAATTTATTTTAGAAGTATCATTTTCAAATATATTTTTATTTATACACATGAGTTATTCCATTTGAAAAAACTGTATTACAAAAAATTTACTTGAAAAATCACTCATTTTAATATTAGTTTCTACATTTACAATAAAAATTTTATTATATTATTAAACAGACAGATATACTTTTTTATAATAAAAAATTCAATACAAAATTTTATTTAAAAAAAATATTTTCTATTCAAAAGGATTCTTGATCGAAGCACATGACTTTAGTTGTTCATTTAGTGAAGAAAGTAACTACTTGGCAAAGTAGCCAGATAACACATATTTAATTTTATTTTCCTTGAGAGCTATTTTAGTTATTTTAAATTCGTTTTCAAGCCATATAGCTATTGTGTTGTACTCGACACTCTATTTTTTCTTTGAAATTATTTTTATTTTAGTGAAAGACTATTATTTATCAGAATATATAGATCGCATCTATTTATGTCTTTCAGCTGCGTCACTTTAAATTAGCCTTTGTTTTGTAGTCGAGAATTTTATATTTGAAGGATCTGATACTATTCTAATTATTATAGTTACAGTACCTATTTCTACTATTTTTGTTTTGCAGTACAAAAAAAACAAAAATGAGCAATTATTTCATATATTTTTAAATATTGAGTCTCTTTATGAGTGCAACACCTATAAATTTTTATAGATAGTAAGGATGATTATCCAATAGTCTAAGCTATGCTAAAATCATTACTTGTATAAAGGATAAGGAATTAATTACTAAGCAATTATTTAAGTTCATGAGCTTTAATGTACTTCAAACGATAAATCTTGCTTTTGCTATTTGTACAGAGCTCCTGTAAACAAATTAATATTTTCATTGAATAAATTATTAATAAACAACAATATTATTAACTCCTTCCTAATGTTAATTATTTTTATAGTTACTTTTATTTTGTTGTTTTTAACATAAAATTGTAAATTACTAATAGCATTTTTAATTATAAAATTAAATTAGAATACAAAAGAAGAACTTTTGTAGCAAGTACTCTCTGAAAAACATTTTAGAAAAGAATATATTGAACATCTATTATTTGATATTATGGAAAAATATATTGAAAATAATAAAGGTAAGAAAGAAAAAAATATGAATATCTTGAGACTGTCTCTTTTGAACTATCTTTTTGAGATAATTAATGACCCAACGAGAGCTCTTATCTTTTTGTATCGCACTTAATTCTAATTTGTTTTGAGTAATAAAATAAGGGGAGCATATAAATTTTACTTTTACTAGCTAAAAGAATTTGTGATGAAATCTTATTCTGAAATATTTTTTAATTCTAACATTCAAAATTAAAAAATAAACATGATTGGAGCCATTCTATTTGACGAGAAAATTAACATTTGTAAAAAAAAGCTCAGAGATACTTTGATTCAAACTGGAGATTTCTATGATTTTTTATGCGGGGATTATATCCCTTTGAAACAATTGGAAATTATGTCTGTGCCTTTGATAAATCTTAATTAAGAGCTGTAAAATAGCTTTTTAGAACTTTTTCAAATTAATGCGTTTGATTTGGATCTTCAATATTTGGCTAGTGTATATATCTAAGTTCTAGATTTTTAGAGTAGAAAAATCTCAGATTTTCAAAAGTAGGCTTTAAATATTTTTAATAAATCCTAAAAGATTAAAAATATCAAATAATTACAAAAATTGAAGTAAAACAATTACTTTACTGAAAATGTTTGTGTAGTTTTTTCATCGTTTTTGGAAAATGATTATATTATTAACAAAGTTTCGAATCCCTTTTTCTAGATTTTTGGGATTAAAATAAATGAAATTCTTGGTAAATAGTTGAATTTATTAGTACCAAATATAGTAAAAAGGCATCACAATAAAATGATCAAATAATTTATTGATCAAGAATCTCTAAATATAGTTTAAAAAGGTATTTATTATTTTGTAATATTCTCTTCCCTATCCAAAAATTTTTCTGTAATGTAAATAAAAAAGGAGAAAGACATGCTTTTGCTCTTGATAAAAAGGGATTTGTTTTCCCTATCACTTTGAGAATAAAAATTGAAATTTTTGAAAATGATATTGGTGTCTGCGCTTTAATTTAACGAGTAAATAAATAAAAATAATACATTTTATTTGATGATGATGGTATAATCACAGATTTTTCCAAAAAAATATTTATTGATATTTTTTAATCTATGGACTCTAAAATATGTAAAATAAATTTAATCATTTTAAATTTCTCAAAGCAATAAAAAAAGAAATATTTAGCAAAAATTTTTTTTAAAAGAAAGAAAGAATTAAATAATGAGAAAAAATAATAATTTTATTTATTTATTTTTTTATAGAAATCTAATAAAATGCATTTAGCCTGATACCTATGCTAGAGGCAGTAATGGAGAATAAGCAGTTTTATGCCTAATTTTGCAGCATTTTAGTTATTAAGAGAGAATTAATAGATTTATAAAATTCACAGAAGGAATAGCAAATACAGAATAAAACTCATAATAAAAAAGCTTATTCTCAAAACGATGATGTATTTTTAATTTAATTTAAGGTTGGAGTGTACACCACAAAATTAAATTTAAATGTAAATTATGTTGAAATTGACTTTTACGAAAGAGAAATAAATGAAATGAAAAAAAGAAGAATAATTTAAGACATAAACTATCAATAGATACTTAAAGAAAAGCAGTAAAGTTTAGGTAACAATATTTATTAGATACCTAATTTGATTAATAACAACTCTGATAGATAAACTACTTAAATATCCTTCAACTAAGATTAAAGTATGACTAAGAAGGTGATTTCCAAAACTTTTTTTTAAGAAAACGAGAGTATTAAATCGCCAACTTTGTTAAGTCCTCTAAAAAGTTAAAGAAAAATAAATAACATCTAAACAGCTTAGGATGCTAACAATAATAACTATTAGCAAGAAAATACTACAAATATTTTATAGGAAAAAATTCTTTAGGATGATCAAATGCCTTCCTCTTTTTGTGAAATATAATTAGTATCTTTGTAATTAAATAAATAAACAGGAGATTAACAAGAAACAAAAGTAAATTTATTCTCAACGATAGATGAATAAAAATCTGATGCGCCTTTTTAATCTCTTAGGACCACTCATTAACTTTAAATCAATACAAAAATAGAAGGTGAAAGAATTACATCACCTTTTTACTAAGATGATAAATATTTGTAATCTTTTAAGAATATTGAAATCAATTAAGTGGATAGTTTACAATAATTATAAAAATTAAATTATGGCTTTTAACAAAACAAAGAAGCATCTTTAAATAATTTAAATTAGTTTCAAAACAATGATTTTATGTTCTCAGAAATAAGTAATTGCTTAGTTCAGCCATAAAAAGCTATATTCTATAATAATCTTAATTAAATTTATGATGAAGAGCCAGAATCTTATAAGTCAAGTCTAAATGATAACAAAATAAATAGAATATATTCTAGAAGCACTGATTCTCATGAAGAAGAGAATGAAAAGAAAGAGTAAAGGAATGAAATTGCTAGTGTAAATTCAAGTAAATTCAGTTCAGTCGAGCTCATGAAAAGGTCTATGATTAAGAGAATACTATCAAAAGTATATACGAGAGGCTAAAAGCTTATGATTATTACAGGTATTCTAGCATTTTTGATTTTAGCTATAGTGACTATAAAAATATATTATGATAATATTAATAGCTTAGATTAATTTGTTTCTTCTTTTTTGAAAATAGATGATGCAATTTACTGTTTTGTAGATGTTATGAATATATTAGCTTTTAATAATTATGCTGAAATACTAGGTATTAAGGATAATCCATATATTATTGATACATTAAAAGATTAATAAGTTGAAAAGATAAATGTTAACACAATTTATTATCCTTTAGTCCTTAATGATTATAAACGTAATTTAGAATAACTTGTTTTACACAATGAAAGTGAAGAATCAATTAATGTACTACAGAATAACCTATTTTTAGTTTAGAAATTCACTATTGGCTTTTACGACAACTATGGAAGCTAATTGTATGTAGGAAATACAAATTTTACTCAAAATTTGCAATATACTTTAATGGAATACTACTATTCTATTTATATGTATACAGTAATGTTTGAAGATGCTTAAGAAATGTTTATATGGAATAACCTCATGGAATTAAAAGAAAGGACAAGAAACTTGCAATCAATTGTTAATCAATATGTCAACAAACAATTTAATAACATGTACAATGAATAGATAACTATTATCATATTAGTAGCCATAATTAGTGTTTCTATGGTATTGACTATAATCCCTTTAAATTTCATGATATAAATGCAGAAAGAAAAAATTATGAAACTCTTAGGTTCATTTTAACCTTAGATACTTGAATCTCAAATAAAACTTATTGAATTGGCCATTTTTAAAATAGATAATATCCATACTGTCAATGAAATGAACAAAGGTGTGTAAGATAATAATAAATCTTCGAATTAAAACAGGAAATAGATAAAACTCTTGATGGAATTGGCTCTTGATGGGAGAGAAGACAATTAGATTAACTAAAAAGGCAAGTTTAATTAAGAAATAAATGATTTCATTCCAAAATACATTAAAAGAAAGCAAAATAAAAGAAACAGATCTATCGCATCTTTTAATAGTTTACCAAAACTTAGCTTTAAAATTATTTTTATGAGCGTTGTTACTATAATACTTTTATTGATTTAGCCGTTTTTAAACATAATTTAAAATAATCCATTTCAAAGAGAGTCTAATGCTACTTTAGACGATAGAATAGCTTTAACCAGTATCTATTCTTGTTTAATTGAGAATTAAACTCCACATTATTTGAGCTAATACATGATGATTATTGAGTAATACCTTCCATCTGAAACATTTTATTACTATTATATTCAGAATATAACAGATTAGAACTAGTAATCTATTTTAGCAATATAGAACTTGACTTAAAGCCAACATATTCCAAGAAATAATGAGCAGATATTTGAAGGATTTTATAAAACCATTCTTAATGGAGACATATGCTCTGTAAAGGAATCATATCCACAATATTTTAACTCAAATATAACTCATGCTGATTGTAACAGATTATTTGGTGGAATATTGAACAGAGGATTGCTTCTTTCAATTAAAAAGGCTTTTGATACATTTTAAGAACTGTACGAAATGTATTCAATAACAGATTATTATACATTATATGATCAATGGATTTTATTCCAGTACTAGTACTCATATATAGATTTTTTTAAATTTGTATAAGTGATCACAGAGGCTGTTAATGGTATCAGGCAATACTAAAATGAGTCACTGTTACAATATAAAGACTATTTATAATCTAATTTATTCTTACTATTTATTGTATAACTCAAAATTATAACTCTCATATTCTTGATAGGATGGACTTACCTATTCTTTAAATTTGATACCCAGCTGACTCTAACAAATAAAATGTTTACATTATTCCATATTAGCTTGCTTTACGAAAACAGCTTTATCTAGTCTTATTTTAAATAAATCAAAATTCTAAATAAAAATTGACCTGTTTTTATTATGCATACAAAATTTACTGTATTTTCTCATCCTTCTTAGTGATATATTTTCAATATTGAGAAGTTTTGGAGAAAAAAATAGTTTGTTTAAGAGGAATTAATTTATTTAAGTAAATTTAATTTTTTAATTTTTTTATTTTTACAAATAATTTATTTACTTACAAAAATATAAATGATATTTATAATAAAAAAACAATAATAAAATCTAATATATTTTAGGTTAAAAAAAACTTTTTTAAAATATTAAAAAATAAAAAAAACCTTTAATATTCTATTATTAAAACATTTAATATTTATTCGTCCTTTTTTCGTTATTTGCTTATCAACTGAAATATTTTTCAAAGACAACTAATCTTTTTGATTTAAGACACTTGCTTATTACTTTGAATTTGTATGATTAATTCATTTAGCTAAAATTTTATAATAAATTAGTGTAAATTATAAATAAATATCAAATATAATAAATTTTAAATTAAAAATTTTTCTTAAATTAATAAATAAATAAAATAAAATTAGAGGAATAAAAAAGATAAAAAATTAATCAAATAAAAGCTATCAAATAAATTCAAAGAGCTTTTTTGTTTTAAATTAGTTTTAATAATTAAAAATATCACAATCCAAAACAAATAAACTCTTTTTACTCAAGTATAAGTGTCAAATTTGAGAGATTAATGCAATTTGCTAAACCAGAACCTAAGCCTGATGCACCATTTGCACCAATTTAATTATACCTTTTTAAATATTGAAGATAAAATATATCATTAAATAGTTAATTAGAAGGAAAAAATGAAGAAAAAATATGAAATAATAAGATAGATTTATTAATAATAAAAGCAAAAGTTGAAAATAAAATGATGAGTTAAATAAACAAAGAAAGAACAAAAAAAAAGCAAGCACAATAAAAAGAAAAAGAAAAAAAAGCTTTATTGTTTTTAATTAGTTTTTATAATTTAAAATATCACAATCCAAAACAAATAAACTATTTTTACATAAGGTTAAGTGTCAAATTTGAGAGATTAATGCACTTTGCTAAACCAGAACCTAAGCCTGATGCACCCTTTGCACCAATTGAATTGTAACTTTTTAAATATTGAAGAAAAAATATATCATTAAATAGTTAATTAGAAGGAAAAAATGAAGAAAGAATATGAAATAATAAGATAGATAAATTAATAATAAATGCAAAAGTTGAAAATAAAATGATGAGTTAAATAAACAAAGAAAGAACAAATAAAAGCAAGCACAATAAAAAGAAAAAGAAAAAAGAGCTTTATTGTTTTAAATTAGTTTTATAATTTAAAATATCACAATCTAAAACAAATAAATTGTTTTTACCGAAGATCAAGTTTCAAATTTGAGAGATTAATGCAATTTGCTAAACCAGAACCTAAGCCTGATGCACTTTAATCACCAATTTAATTTTTACTTTTTAAATATTGAAGAAAAAATATATCATTAAATAGTTAATTAGAAGGAAAAAATGAAGAAAGAATATGAAATAATAAGATAGATTAATTAATAATAAAAGCAAAAGTTGAAAATAAAATGATGAGTTAAATAAACTAAGAAAGAACAAAAAAAAAAAGCAAGCACACTAAAAAGAAAAAAGAAAAAAGAGCTTTATTGTTTTAAATTAGTTTTTTTATTAAAAATATCACAATCCAAAACAAATAAACTGTTTTTACTAAAGGTTAAGTGTCAAATTTGAGAGATTAATGCAATTTGCTAAACCTGAACCTAAAACTGATGCACCTTTGTCACCAATTTCATTGTAACTTTTTAAATATTGATGGCAAAATATATCATTAAGTAGTTAATTAGAAGGAAAAAATGAAGAAAAAATATGAAATATAAGATTAATTAATAATTAAAGCAAAAGTTGAAAATAAAATGATTAGTTAAATAAACAAAGAAAGAACAAAAAAAAAACAAGAAAAATAAAAAGAAAAAGAAAAAAGAGCTTTATTGTTTTAAATTAGTTTTATTAATTTAAAATATCACAATCCAAAACAAATAAACTGTTTTTACCGAAGATCAATTGTTAAATTTGAGAGATTAATGCAATTTGCGAAACCAGAACCTAAGCCTGATGCACCTTCATCACCAATTTAAACAGAACTTTTTAAATATTGGAGAAAAAATATATCATTAAATAGTTAATTAGAAGGAAAAAATGAAGAAAGAATATGAAATAATAAGATAGATTTATTAATAATAAGTGCAAAAGCTGAAAATAAAATGATGAGTTAAATAAACAAAGAAAAAACAAAAAAAAGCAAGCACAATAAAAAGAAAAAGAAAAAAGAGCTTTATTGTTTTTAATTAGTTTTATAATTTAAAATATCACAATCCAAAACAAATAAACTGTTTTTACCCAAGATCAAGTGTCAAATTTGAGAGATTAATGCAATTTGCTAAACCAGAACCTAAGCCTGATGCACCTTTATCACCAATTTAATTTTTACTTTTTAAATATTGAAGAAAAAATATATCATTAAATAGTAAATTAGAAGGAAAAAATGAAGAAAGAATATGAAATAATAAGATTGATTAATTAATAATAAAAGGAAAAGTTGAAAATAAAATGATGAGTTAAATAAACAAAGAAATAACAAAAAAAAAAGGAAGCACAATAAAAAGAAAAAGAAAAAGAAAAAAGAGCTTTATTGTTTTAAATTAGTTTTTATAATTTAAAATATCACAATCCAAAACAAATAAACTGTTTTTACCGAAGATCAAGTGTCAAATTTGAGAGATTTATGCAATTTGCTAAACTAGAACCTAAGCCTGATGCACCTTAATCACCAATTTAATTTGTACTATTTAAATATTGAAGAAAAAATATATCATTAAATAGTTAATTAGAAGGAAAAAATGAAGAAAGAATATGAAATAATAAGATTGATTAATTAATAATAAAAGCAAAAGTTGAAAATAAAATGATGAGTTAAATAAACAAAGAAATAACAAAAAAAAAAGGAAGCACAATAAAAAGAAAAAGAAAAAAGAGATTTATTGTTTTAAATTAGTTTTTATAATTTAAAATATCACAATCCAAAACAAATAAACTGTTTTTACCCAAGATCAAGTGTCAAATTTGAGAGATTAATGCAATTTGCTAAACCAGAACCTAATCCTGATGCACTCTTTGCACCAATTTAATTGTAACTTTTTAAATATTGAAGAATAAATAAATCATTAAATAGTTAATTAGAAACAAAAAATGAAGAAAGAATATGAAATAATAAGATAGATAAATTAATAATAAGTGCAAAAGTTGAAAATTAAATGATGAGTTAAATAAACAAAGAAAGAACAAAAAAAAAGCAAGCACAATAAAAAGAAAAAGAAAAAAGAGCTTTATTGTTTTAAATTAGATTTTATAATTTAATATATCACAATCCAAAACAAATAAACTATTTTTACAAAAGTTTAAGTGTCAAATTTGAGAGATTAATGGAATTTGCTATACCAGAACATAAGCCTAATACACCTTCATCACTAATTTAATTTAAACTTTTTAAATATTGAAGAAAAAATATATCATTAAATAGTTAATTAGAAGGAAAAAATGAAGAAAGAATATGAAATAATAAGATAGATTAATTAATAATAAAAGCAAAAGTTGAAAATAAAATGATGAGTTAAATAAACAAAGAAAGAACAAATAAAAGCAAGCACAATAAAAAGAAAAAGAAAAATGAGCTTTATGGTTTTTAATTAATTTTTTTTATTTAAAATATCACAATCCAAAACAAATAAACTATTTTTACCCAAGATCAAGTGTCAAAATTGATAGATTAATGGAATTTGCTAAACCAGAACCTAAGCCTGATGCACCCATAGCACCAATTTAATTGTAACTTTTTAAATATTGAAGAAAAAATACATCATTAAATAGTTAATTAGAAGGAAAAAATGAAGAAAGAATATGAAATAATAAGATAGATTAATTAATAATAAATGCAAAAGTTGAAAATAAAATGATGAGTTAAATAAACAAAGAAAGAACAAAAAAAAAGCAAGCACTATAAAAACAAAAAGAAAAAAGAGCTTTATTGTTTTAAATTAGTTTTTATAATTTAAAATATCACAATCTAAAACAAATAAACTGTTTTTACCCAAGATCAAGTGTTAAATTTGAGAGATTAATGCAATTTGCTAAACCAGAACCTAAGCCTGATGCACCCTTTGCACCAATTTAATTAATCCTTTTTAAATATTAAAGAAAAAATATATTATTAAATAGTTAATTAGAAGGAAAAAATGAAGAATATGAACTAATAAGATAGATTAATTAATAATAAAAGCAAAAGTTGAGAATAAAATGATGAGTTCAATAAACAAAAAAGAACAAAAAAAAAAGCAAGCACAATAAAAAGAAAAAGAAAAAAAAAAAGAGCTTTATTGTTTTAAATTAGTTTTTATAATTCAAAATATCACAATCCAAAACAAATAAACTGTTTTTACCCAAGATTAAGTGTCAAATTTGAGAGATTAATGCAATTTGCTAAACCTGAACCTAAGCCTGATGCAGCCATTGCACCAATTTTATTTTCACTTTTTAAATATTGAAGAAAAAATATATCATTAAATAGTTAATTAGAAGGAAAAAAAAGTTGAAGAAAGAATATGAAATAATAAGATGGATTAATTAATAATAAAAGCAAAAGTTGAAAATAAAATTATGAGTTAAATAAACTAAGAAAGAACAAAAAAAAAAGCAAGCACACTAAAAAGAAAAAAGAAAAAAGAGCTTTATTGTTTTAAATTAGTTTTTATAATTCAAAATTTCACAATTCAAAACAAATAAACTGTTTTTACCGAAGATCAAGTTTCAAATTTGAGAGATTAATGCAATTTGCTAAACCAGAACCTAAGCCTGATGCACCTTTATCACCAATTTAATTTTTACTTTTTAAATATTGAAGAAAAAATATATCATTAAATAGTTAATTAGAAGGAAAAAATGAAGAAAGAATATGAAATAATAAGATAGATTTATTAATAATAAAAGCAAAAGTTAAAAATAAAATGATGAGTTCAATAAACAAAAAAGAACAAAAAAAAAAGCAAGCACAATAAAAAAAAAAGAAAAAGAAAAAAGAGCTTTATTGTTTTTAATTAGTTTTATAATTTAAAATATCACAATCCAAAACAAATAAACTGTTTTTACCGAAGATCAAGTGTCAAATTTGAGAGATTAATGCAATTTGCTAAACCAGAACCTAAGCCTGATGCACCCTTTGCACCAATTTTATTTTCACTTTTTAAATATTGAAGAAAAAATATATCATTAAATAGTTAATTAGAAGGAAAAAATGAAGAAAGAATATAAAATAATAACATAGATTTATTAATAATAAAAGCAAAAGTTGAAAATAAAATGACGAGTTAAATAAACAAAGAAAGAACAAAAAAAAAAAGCAAGCACAATAAAAAAAAAAGAAAAAGAAAAAAGAGCTTTATTGTTTTAAATTAGTTTTTATAATTTAAAATATCACAATCCAAAACAAATAAACTATTTTTACTCAAGTATAAGTGTCAAATTTGAGAGATTAATGCAATTTGCTAAACCAGAACCTAAGCCTGATGCACCATTTGCACCAATTTAATTATGACTTTTTAAATATTGAAGAAAAAATTTATCATTAAATAGTTAATTAGAAGGAAAAAATGAAGAAAGAATATGAACTAATAATATAGATTAATTAATAATAAAAGCAAAAGTTGAAAATAAAATGATGAGTTCAATAAACAAAAAAGAACAAAAAAAAAGCAAGCACAATAAAAAGAAAAAGAAAAAAAAAAGAGCTTTATTGTTTTAAATTAGTTTTTATAATTTAAAATATCACAATCCAAAACAAATAAACTGTTTTTACTAAAGGTTAAGTGTCAAATTTGAGAGATTAATGCAATTTGCTAAACCAGAACCTAAGCCTGATGCACCTTCATCACCAATTGAATTGTAACTTTTTAAATATTGAAGAAAAAATATATCATTAAATAGTTAATTAGAAGGAAATAATAAAGAAAGAATATGAAATAATAAGATGGATTAATTAATAATAAAAGGAAAAGTTGAAAATAAAATGATGAGTTAAATAAACAAAGAACGAACAAAAAAAAGCAAGCACAACAAAAAGAAAGAGAAAAATCGAGTTTTTTTACAGGTTTTTACATTTTTTTAAACTAAAATTTTAAATATTTTTTCCGAATTTTTTTTCATTAAAATTTTTCAAAATTTATTTTTTTCAAAAAAAATGATATGTTATTAGAATATACTGTGTATATTATTTCAAATTTAGCATTTTGTGAATTAAAGCTTTCTAAAAACTCAAAAATAAAGCTTTTTTAAGCTAATTTAGCTTTATTTATTATGTTATTAAGATATATTATATTTCGCCTTTTATAAATTAAAAAGCAAGAAGGAAAAAATAAAGAAAAAATATGAAATAATAAGATGAATTAATTAATAATTAATAAAATAAACAAAGAACGAAAAAAAAAGAAATCATAAAATAAAAAGGAAAATACATCAAATAAATTAAAAGAGCTTTAATATTTTAAATTAATTTTTATAATTAAAAATATTACAATCCAAAAAAAATAAACTGCTTTTATTAAGTGTAAGTTTTAATAGCAAAAATTGAAGAAAAAATATCAAATAATAAAAAATGAATAATAAATAATTAAAAATTGAAATGAAAATTAAGTTAAAAAACTAAAAAATTTTTGTTTTAATAAAAATCAATGAATAATGATGATAATTTCAATGAAAAAAATTATTTATTCAAATAAATTGAAAGTTAATTATATAAAAATATTAATAATAATATAAATAATAATTATTAATAAAATATACTCCAGATGAATAAGGAGCTCCTAATGAGATAAAAAAGAAGAGCTTAAAAACTTTTTTTATTAATTAATATAAATTTAAATGATATTAATAAAAAAATTAATAATTACTTCTTCTAATCTATTATATTTTTTAATCTATTATATCATTTATTTTTTTTTCAAAAATATTGAATAGCAAGCAATTTATGAAATTTAATTAATTAATTATAGATGGATAAAAAGAACAAATAAATATAATAATTAATTAATTATCTAATATTAATTTATATATTTGATTTTATAAAGAGATATCACAAAAAAATTAATTTAACATTCATTATTTTAACTTAATATTTGTATTTAAAACATAAACTTTAAAATATATATTGTAGAGATGGTCAGTTATTTAATTAGTCTTATTTGAAAAAATTCTAGTATTTAATGTTCTTGAACCAAGTGTTTGAATTTTATTCTTGGTGGATGGTGTATGTTTTTTTAAATATGACTTATGGTGTCTATTTATTAATACCTAGCCAGAAATTCACTATTGGCTTTTACGACAACTATGGAAGCTAATTGTATGTAGGAAATACAAATTTTACTCAAAATTTTCAATATACTTTAATGGAATACTACTATTCTATTTATATGTATACAGTAATGTTTGAAGATGCTTAAGAAATGTTTAAATGGAATAACCTCATGGAATTAAAAGAAAGGTCAAGAAACTTGCAATCAATTGTTAATCAATATGTCAACAAACAATTTAATAACATGTACAATGAATAGATAACTATTATCATATTAGTAGCCATAATTAGTGTTTTTATGGTATTGACTATAATCCCTTTAAATTTCATGATATAAATGCAGAAAGAAAAAATTATGAAACTCTTAGGTTCATTTTAACCTTAGATACTTGAATCTCAAATAAAACTTATTGAATTGGCCATTTTTAAAATAGATAATATCCATACTGTCAATGAAATGAACAAAAGTGTGTAAGATAATAATAAATCTTAGAAATAAAACAGGAAATAGATAAAACTCTTGATGGAATTGGCTCTTGATGGGAGAGAAGACACTTAGATTAACTAAAAAGGCAAGTTTAAATAAGAAATAAATGATTTCATTCCAAAATACATTAAAAGAAAGCAAAATAAAAGAAACAGATCTATCGCATCTTTTAATAGTTTACCAAAACTTAGCTTTAAAATTATTTTTATGAGCGTTGTTACTATAATACTTTTATTGATTTAGCCGTTTTTAAACATAATTTAAAATAATCCATTTCAAAGAGAGTCTAATGCTACTTTAGAGGATAGAATAGCTTTAACCAGTATCTATTCTTTTTTATTGAGAATTAAACTCCACATTA